GCAGATGACTCCACCAACATCTGATGAGGTATATCAATGGATGTAACAGCCAGAAGAAATATTTCTAAATCTATTTCGATCCAGTTTTATTTTCACTTTTTTATTCTAACGATAAATAAAAAAAAATTAACACGTGCTCACACACAAGTAAAAATCACAATTGCGAACGTTATTCCCTTAAAATATACACTCTCTCGTGTACTCAGTCTTACTCCAGAGCTGAATGACAATCCAATAAGCCTTTTTTACTGAAACTAGAAAACAACCACAGCTGACTGAATGTACTGAGGCTGGACCGAAACGACATTGTGCACAACTTATTGGTGGCAATAAAACAGGTGGACACCATTTTGTTTGCCCAATAGTGGAAAAAAATCAGATTACACGCCTTGGAAACTATCAAAAAATTTACGTTCACTTCAAAAAAGAACTTTTCTTAGACTTCATAGGAAACCTGCTATGATTTTCCACGCGTGTGGTGGCGAACTGTTTATCGCGCAACGAAAATCGTTGAACAACAATGCGGACGCGCGATGTTGAAATAGAAAAAGGCGACCGACTCGTTAACTGACCTATCGTGGATATTCGAGAACACTGTATTATTCACTTCTGTTTGTAGACTTCCCCACAAGCATCCAAATCCTTGTGAAGTTTCCTACATTTCCTTGGCATCGTTTTGCATATTGATAATCACTTTGTACTGACAATGACATGAACTGACTCTTGCAGAATAACAGACGGTTGTTCGCTGCATCCAAAAATACAGGGGACATTCTGGACATAAACGGCATAATATTTGTAGATGGTGGCTACCCGCCGTATATTATATTGATAAGGCAGGGAACTAGATTGACGCCTGTTTTGTGAACAAAATAATGACATCCATATGGGGCTGTTATTAATAAAGTATACATATAGGCAACGTACATGTACGTATATTGCGTGCACTAAAAAACATACGGGGAGAGGAACCCTAACCAATGCAGGCAGAGTGAGTCGTTAAATTTTAAAGCTCAATGCCAATCGACTTCAGGACAAAAAAGGAAGAAAAGGAAACATAATGGTTACCCATGATAATTGGGGGGGTAGAGATGGCAGCGCCCCCTATTGTCAGTCCAATCTTACAATCATTAGACTGTTGTCACGTGAAAGAATAAAGAAACCCAGACTCTCTATCGTGGTGACAGATGCGATAGTTATAGACCGGCACGACATCAAAGAGAGACTTTGTAATTTCAAACCTACCGACTCGTGACAAAACCTCGTAGTTGCGATTCAAGACGTTTGACGACTGGAAAACTGTTTGGGATTAAACCATACAGCAGCGTATGTTTAGGGAAACTAAAGTAACGACTCCCATTTTTTTTCGGCTGACATGAGCGGCAGTCGTCGGGTGACTAACGTAATACTGCAATTTTTAGTTTGATTCGATATAGAACTTGCCCTGTGAGGCTGTGATTTGTTGCGTTAAAGGTTGGTTCACACTACAGGCGAATATGAGACCGATGTGAATTGACGTCACAAGAGATTAGCAGCAAATTTTGCCCGAGTTGAAGCGCATTCAACTTTGCGAATTAACAGCGCCAATTCATGTATTTGACCTCACACGTCACAAATACACTTGCGTTTGCGTTCGCTTTCGTGCCAAGTGTGAATCTGCCTTTTGCAGTTGGCAATCTGTTACAAATAATGTTTTATTTCAAAGTGAACTAATTAAGTTCAGTTTTTTTCAACAAGACTATTTTTCACAAGACTAATTCAGTTGATCAGAATGCATCACAATTGCTCACAAATGAATCTGAATTTTCATACAGCACGCTTGACAAGTTAGTAAAAACCATGAGCACATCACTCGTTTGATTCCGTTTGATACCGTATTGTCTCCACTCGTGGGATAGCTCTTCCGCATTTACCTGCCTGGCAGAAGAATGATACAACTTTTGAGGGAAGGAAATAATCCAACCTCATGAAGATTATCACGATACAAACTTTGTGAAAACTCACCACATTTCTCTCATTCTTTTTGTGTCAGGAAATCTCTCCGCTTACAGTGTGACGTGCCAATCGCTGAAAATTGCCAAAGCCTTCTTCGACAATTCCCATCACAGGAGCATACGAGAAACCTGGAAACTTAATCCAGTGCTTCCGGAAATAGAGACTCCTGACTCTCCGCGGAGCGTCTCAGGTTGAAAAGTGCAGTTGAGCTTGAAAAGTTTTCAACGGTGTGGATGCGACAGTTTCAACGAGACCGGCAGCATTTGATTTCCGAAAGGTAACGCCATTGTTAACGTGTAAGTACATGCGAAAGTTTGCACAAAATGCATTGTGGCCCTATGTTTCTTCGAGAGACTTTACTGCGTTGCTTAAGCATTTCTAGTCTGTGACAAACAGCAATACAGATACAGCTTTTCCCAACTAAGTTCTTTGAACACTGTCCCTACTCTAAACGTGTGCTTCGCTAATAAGAACGCTCGAGAGAGAGAAAAAAAGAAAATCAGGTATGCAATTTCCCGTTCATATCTCATTGTGGTATGTAGTCGAAACGTGAGGATTTCAAGGAATTGAAGCAAACTTTCGGCAGGAATTCCGCCTCACTGAGCAACTGTAATTCTGTTCCATGTCATGAGCGGGTTGTACAAGGCGGCGTGGTGAAGTCTATTTTCTTCAAATCGAGTTAGACAGTGTAGTGCATTTGCTTGCGACTGGCTCATGTTGTCTATTTCTGAAGGTACACAAACCGCCAGTCTGGCTGCCTTAGAGACAGTGCCAACATGAGTACCTGTAAAGTTAGCACACCTGGGGTGACCACTGATTCTCAAAAACAAAAGACAAACAGTTAAGCGGACAAGAAGAAAACATCGTCTTTTTACCATATCTACCATACCCCATCTGATTCAAAACACCCAGCAGGAAGCTGTTGCAGTCACGCATTTTCCCTCCAGGTTTCCATCACATGTCCCCTATCTAATCAACAAATGACAAGAAGTCAACAAGCAACCCACACTTTGACGACTATACCAATACAGGTTCTTTCCCTTTTGCCATGAGGATCTACATTTTAGGCTGTTTTGACTATTAATAGGCCAACCTTTGATAACAGCGAACCATGCGTTTGCCAGATGTCAAGTGCTAATACTGTGAAGAAGAAAAAAATGTTATTTTTTTCCTTCTGTCACTTTGCACCGAACAGTATAATGACATGAGACAGCGAGGCTGGGTTGGTTACAGCAGAGAGTTCCCCGTGCATATGGTGCTAAGGGGGAAGAACTCGGCGCAAGTTGTATGTCCGTATGTACAGCTTGGAGTTGGCATGGAGTAAGATTACTAAATTTCACTGGCGACGAACGTAGATGAGTGCTATTCAATTAGAAGGAACGACATCTTGAAAAGGCATTACTGCCGTCTATAACAAGAGCCTTCGCGAACAATAATAATATGATCCAATGATGGCGAAAGTCATCGCTGAAATTCACGGCTGGTTGATTCATTATCTCAGTGTATGGTATGATAATAATAACGGGACACTTTTTATGAAGAATATTAGCAGTTGGAAAGGGCATTCAAATTACATATAGTATCAATGTTTACGTATAATTATAAGAAACACAATTATTGCCACCCGTGTGCGCGTATCCGCCCGAAAAACTGCCAATATGTACATTTATGTGGTGAGTCAGGTTTAGTTGGCATAGCAGTGTTTTTCCTTGACCTTCCACCGTCGTGACCCGAGTTCGAGTCCCACCCAAGCTGACACATGGATTGCATTGGCTGCCCCAGTTTGATTCCGCGGGTTTCTTTGAATATTTAACTAGTGATTTCCGACGCCTCTATTATAACTCAGCCTGTCTTCATTGTCTTGTCTGAAGTTGTCTCCACCTGTTTACTCAGCCTGGTGAGCTGACAGTCTGCGGGCTCACTTTGCAAAGCCTTAACATCTGAGGAATCGTTGCTTTTACCATGGCTTCATTTTACCGGAAATAACTGGATATACACTCGACAAAAAGTCTTTCCCCGACCCCCCCCAAGCAGTGATACATTCTTGTCAAACCTTCTGAGCAAGCTTCAAAAATCGACCGCCCCCGAAAGCCATGGGAGAAAGGGCTCCATTTACAGACAAAACTATCATAGAAATCACAGAAAGAGTGTTGATAACATTACGAGTAGGTAAAATTCTTCCAATGCCATCACAATGGCCAATTTAAGTTTTTAATGAACAAACACACCACCCTTGCTCCTTCTAGAAACAAAGAAATTCTCACAGGCACAAGTAAAACATACTATGAAAAGAAAGCGAACGTGTACTGTTCTAGTAAAGAGCCGCCATATGCACGGAATACGTTGTTCCAGCAAAGAGTTGAGAGATGACTTCACAATTACAGCGTGACAAGTACAAGTGTCGCGGTAACTTATCTGCCTGTCCTGCACGCTGTATACAATTTTACACACGCGATCTCGAATAATGTGTTCAAATTAATATAAACACGATCAACACTACACTTACGGTTTCCTGTGGATTTGCCTCTTAATTGACAATGTCACGTGACTGACAATAATTGTTAGGCCTATGGGTGGTTCTCCAAGGTATAAAATGTACAATTTCAAGTTTTACCAGGTCTTTCTAGCGCCAATCATGCCAGTCTGTAGATATTTGATAACGTAAACAAAGCACATCTTTCACCTAACTCCCTTGCCAAAAAAATTCATGACCACTACTATTTTATTTAGTACTTTACAACATCCTCCATATATTTTCAAAACAGATGTTGCTGGAAAATCAGCATGGAAATACAACCCCAACCATGAATGTGAAATGTGTTGCCCAGTAGCAACGGCCTCAAACACAACAAATTTGTGCCAATGTCAGATCGTTTGTTGTCTTCTTATCCGGGGGATGATGCAAAGGCAATACATGAAAGAGTTAACAATGTGACCCCAGTAAAATATAAGTGATTTGTCTTTTCATCTCCCCATTTAAGTTTTCAAAATTTTTTTTCGTTTACCTTTGATGGACCCATTAGACCCTGGACTTTTCTCAGGCAGATCTAGCATATCTTGACAGCGCTGTGGCACCCTTTGTGTTCCGGGTTTTGTCCGAAGATATGTCTCTTGTCTCGTCCCTTTTCCCAGAATACCGTCAATCGTGTGCTGGGCCACTGCAAATCCAGACGGCCTCTGTAGAAAGTGCTGGCAGTCCGGATGGGACAAACATGTACTATCGGCATCGTCGTCACCACAGCCTGGGTTGGAGGAGGGGGAAGCACCGGCCGAACTCGGCGCCTCATTGACGCTTGCCTTATCCCCGGATAGACACGCCATCATCCCATTGAGTCGTCCAAGCGCTGATGCGCTGACCATGTACGAGCGGTTGGAAGCGCCTCCCGGAGGAGTGTCTAGCAGGGTTGTATAGACTGGAGCTTGCCCTGAAGAGTTATAGTAATGCTCCATTCTGCTGTAGCTCTGCGACAGGGAATTCATTGCAGCTACAGTCGTCTTTCCAAAGGAAGCGAGGAGCAAGAATCAGACGCAAGTTCAAGTTGTGGTTTGAATGTTTATACAGTACCACGAAGAAATAAAGCCAGACTCGCCATGGTAAAAATAACCTAATGGATACTGTATGTGTATAACTTCAAAGTAAGTAGGCACCCGTGTCTTGCATATTCCTTTCTCGAGCAAGCAGTCAGTGGTGCAATTCGGCTGCAGCAGAATACAAATACAACATGAAACTGTTGACCGTAGGTCAGCGACCGACTGTTTCTTTGCAGTTTGCTATAGCGCTAGAGTAGAGGTATTTCTGTTCTTGCTTCTGAATCAGGAGTCAGGGTTGCCAAAACTCGGTGTCTCCTGTGCTTTTTATTACAACTTCTGGATCAAACGTCTAAGAAACATTGGAGAGAAAACAGCTGTTTACGGGTCTCGACATACCATGCGACCGCGCATGTAATAAACAGGATATCTTCAATGATCGTCTGCAAACCAATGAATGAATAACAGGTCAACCAATCCGACCTTGGATAAGATTACAGTCCCTGGATACCAGCTGCACGTCACCCAATCATAGACCTTGATCTAGAGGGCCTTGGGGCGGCTTGCGCGGCACGACCAAAAGATCCAGGCAGACCCCTTGGGCCTGTGGGGCCTTTCATGTGGACCGGACAGCGCAAATTATTTTTCCATGGACGCGATTTGAAATAGGGGATTTTGAGAAAGTATTTGGGCTTTAAAGGTGCCCTGCCGAGAGAGTAGCGAACAGCTAGACTTTACGACGAGTTGGTGGGTAGCTTCGGGGTTCGGGTGGAGGTGCAATCCCGCGTCTTCGCCAAGGGATAAGACGTAAGGGTGGAGGAAAGCCACACGTTTTAAAGGAGTTCTATGGTCGTATTCCTGTTGAAAGGAACAAATTGTAATTGTTGTTTTTGTTTTTTGTTTTTTGGGGTTTTTTTTGTTGTTTTTTTGTTCTGCTGGTGCCGGTTTATTTATTTCAGATTTTATTCATGAGAATGTATCAGAGGAGATTCTTACCGAGCACTGACAGAGCGCTGGGGTGGCCAATCCCTTTCATTTATTGTCGTGAAGGAAGTGGAGACACTGTCAAATATCTTCGATCTTTGGGTGCCTTTGTTCAGGATTTCCTGCCTCAAGTTTGTCAGCACGGCACACGCTTAGCGAGCGCGCATTTGTCAAGCGCGCACGAAAATATCGACGCGTTTTATTGTTTTAACTGTGCAATGAGGGCTCGAAGAAATCACGGAATGCATCCTGACTGGAATAAGGTGGATTCCTGCGCTTCGGCTATATAGACGATATTCTGCTGTCAATATTCGGACAAAGATGTCGTCCATTTCTTAATTCTCACATAATACATCTTACCTGAGCATGGAGGTAGGAACGTAGAATCTCACTATACATGTCTGCAGGATAGTCTCTTCACAAGCCACGCACATTCCTTACTTTGGACATGAATTTAGCACTGTTGTTGTTACTGTTTTTGTTGTCAGCTGTTTCGATAAACAAACAAAAACTGAATCAAATCTTGTTGCTGTTGTTAATGTTCTCATTTCATTGCTTCCGGGCAAGACGGAGAAAAGAACTATCGATTAGGCTAAAGATGTGCACTCCCGATCAGAATCATCGATCTGAGTTCGACCTCGGATTGGATTAGATTGAGCTTGGTTCAGTCGGATTCAGATCAGATTTCGGATGATTTTTAAAACGATGTGAGATCAACTTGGATCGATTGCCTTACCCATAATCTAACAAAATTGGATAAATATTTGTTTTCGACCAGTAAGGTCGTCATCAAATGTGGCACATAATGTTTGTCTTCCTTTACTGCACACACAGTAACTGTATTCCCCAGATGCCAAAATTTTCCCGCATTTATTTATGCAAGAAGGGTGATTGGTACAGCATTGCCACCGGCCCCAGAATGTCATGAAAAATTATACGAATATTTCAAGTTAAAGAGTGTGAACCTTTTCATAAATTTACATTGGAAAGTTTCGCCATTACTTTTGCCTGCCCAGGAAACTCTGAGATTACGAAACAACTATTAATGACTTAAGGAAGTTATGATCTAAAAGTTGTCGACAGTGTATGTTTAGGTAGTCTTTAACAGCATCCCACAGTTTATTAATTTTACAATGAAGTTGATGATTCGCGAAAGGTCTTGTTATCCAAGTTCAGATTTTGTCAGATTTGGATTCTGTTCAGAACTTTTGTCGGATGTGAGATCGGATTCGGCTTGAACCACGAAGGCCATCGGATAGGATAAGATCGGATTGAAGCACGAAAGCTATCGGATCAGATCGTTATGTTTGGGCGAGTTGTTTTCATGTTTCGTCTAAATTTTATATTTTCTATTATAATTATTTGAAAAAAATGATTGAGCCAGACTACGAGAATTGATGTCTCATTAATGGAACATTTGCAATCCTTTTGATTGCACTTTTTAAAAAGCGATAGGGTGTTAAGGAAGGATGTTTAATTAATTAAAGCATTCAAGATTCCAAGTGTAATCGAGCTCCTGTGTCGTGTCGACACACCACTGACTGACGCGATGATGACCCATAGTCTGCATGATTTTCTCAGCGACACCAAGTGGATTGTGCTAGCCTCGAGTGAGAACAATTAATTAAGTCCTGTGTGCCCCCCCCCATCCCGTGGACGAAGACAGACATGCGCAGCGCGGCTGTAACGCCTTGGTTAGTTCCCCGTTTACAATGCAGTTTATTCAGTTATATTTTAACGAGTATTGAAAGGCAGTTTTCATACATTTTCTGCATGTGTTATGCGTTGGGAGTCAACACGTAGGGCCCAAGTTGGACAGTGTCCTTTGAAGTTCGTTACATTGTGTTTTACCTTGAAACTAACACTGGTTGACCCCCCCAAAAAAAACAAATGCAGAGGCATTTGGAGGAGGGGGTCAATGACAGAGGAGTGATTATTTAATTTCCTCCTTCTCCTAAAGCCCATAAGAACCCAGCCATTTAGCCCCATCCCTTAAAAGACAATACAAAGAAACCCCCCGATGTTGACTCTACTCTCCCACCAAATTAAAAAAAAAACGGTCTTCGTCCTCACGAAAAGTTGGTTCCAGATCTAGTCTTAAGAATGACTTGTAATACTGTGTATAAAGCTTTGATGGTATAGCGGTGGAGTTGTATACCAGCACAGATTTCCCCAACTAGCTTTGCGTTGTCTCGATTTGCACTGCAGTAGTGTAAATCTGTGCTGGAAATTGGGGGAGGGGTGGAGGATGGGGAAAAGTGGGGGTATGACTTGCCCGGCCATGGCAATTTGCACACTATATATAGGGGGCGATGTTCATTACGAAGATGTACATTTGTAGGGCCTAATGTGTATCAAATTCATGCAGAATCTTACATCGGAATGGCATATGAATGGCTTTTTAAAATTGTTTTCCCTTTTTAGTGATATTGCAAACATTTTAGTCTTTGGGAAAGCCAAAAATTCTTCACGATCCGCTTTAATTTTTTGCTCATCACAAAAAAGTGTGGTGGGCCCATCCCCCACACTCTCAAAGCGGGGAGGAGGATATATACCTCCAACCCCCGGGATTTACGCACATGCATCACTACCCTGCATCAGAGCATTTTGTTACCATGTGACTTTGGTTAGCAAGTAGAATGGATACTGTTTACATGACTATAAGTTCTTGTTTCTGTGAAACTAGATGTAAATTGGCTACTTTTTTCAAAGAATGGCCGACGTCAGAATTTATTTTCGGGGAGGACTATCTTTAGAAGAAAGTTCATTCCTCTCAGTCATCACATTTCCCATTCACGCCCCCCACACACACACACTTAAACATAAAAAGAAACTGAGTCTCAATGTAATAACCATAGATTTGATGTGTATTTCAAAAACGTAGAGGTTTGTAAAGAATTTATAAAGGGTTGATTTTTTAGAGGGTATGAAGAATCAATAGTAGCGGGTGATGTTTTGAGTTTTACTTCGTTTTGGGCAGGACCTGGAACAAAAAGTGTATAAGATTACATTGACAAAAGTCAGACTTCAATCAAGTCTACCTGAATTTCCTAACTCCAGGCTCGAAGTTAAGGGCTGTTGATTTAAAGACCAGCAATATTTTTAGCTTGTTTTCTGGGAATTACGCGGCTTTTCTAACTGTGACAGTTACAGTCACTCGGTGTGTCTTTTGTTCTCTAAATGTCTAATCACGTCCATTGAGAAAAAAAGTTTTCAATCTGGCGCCAAATTTCCTTTGTACTGGACAATTCAGCATGTGACTGTCTAGCACTTTAAACTAGAGGTGCCATTATGAGTTGCTAAGATTCATTTTAATTTCTATGGGTTTAATATAGTTCTTGTCAGAAAAAAAGCATTGAAGCACCTCCATGACTGAAGTAAATATTGCGTATGATTACGTTGGTAAAACGATTTAATGTGGTGAGAGGTGGACTCGCCTCTTTCATTGCACAGGGCAGAACAGAGTAAAAAATATGAACACATAAATATTATCAAACCATAGACCAATGAATTATCACGTGGCCAATGAAACATTTCCAAATCTGAGAGATTCCCCTCTCCTTCGTGCATGCTCATGCTGGGTGAGCTTTTAATTACAGATGAGGGCGCCAGACCTCAATAATAGTGCTGTTTACATCTCAGAAAGAATTCGCAAGAATTCCATCAACAGTAGAATGACGAATTAAGGATAATGATCTTCCGTTTGTTCATCAAGCCAACACTGTTTTGGAAATAGGTTCTTTAGGAATAATTTTTGGCATTCCTTGCGGTTTTGTTATTGTGCTCTCTTTTCCGTCTGTGCTGCGAGTACACAATCGAGTAACAGGATTTTTAATGAGAAGAAGAGCGCCCTCAACAGCTGTTACACATGATGAGTCTTGTCGCACATACACTTTGTTTGGTTCGGTACTCACAATTACCCCATGAGCAGGGAAACTCGAAATGGAAAACCAACGTGAACCCAACCGTCCCATTAACCAAAGAGTATCAGTTTTCGGATAATTGCTTTCGGAGAAACAATGTATTCCTTTGTAAATCTTGATCATTGTTGACTGCACTTCACAACGTATGCATGTACATTTTCCGACAACAGGCTGTCCACTTGTGCGCATGTGCATTCACGATGGTCAAGATGAGCCATCACTTCACACACGTGTCCATGAGTTGCTTCATTGTTTTTGCTGAACGAACCTCGACCCCATCGGTTACTTATTTCCAGCTTGGATTCCAACAGTAACCCCATGGAAAGGACCCCCATCCAAATTTGAAGCAGCATTAGCAAGGAAAAGCTAGGCCTGCTGTGCCTTTGATGTTTATGATCGGCGTCGCTTGTCCCATGTTTTAACCTATGGCAAAATGCAGATGTTGGTGAAACTGGGAATTTAAGTACATTAATTCAAATTTTAAGTTAAATGAGCTCTTTACCATATGTGCATCTTGAACTGATAATGGCTGAAAAAAAAGGTTTTCTCGTTAGCTCCGCTAAGCGACCCGTTTTACATTATAAAGACATGTTTAAAATTCTTATCCTCCATCATTCATCT